TAATTTTTATTATTATTATTATTATTATTATTATTATTATTATTATTATTATTATTATTATTATAATATTAAATTTGTTATGATGCATTGACAATTCTTTACCTTTTTAAATGTCAAAAATATTGACCAACATAAAGAGTTAAGCCTATAACTACATGTCTTATTTAAAAGTCTTATTACAAATATGTTTTTAAATAACTCATCATTAATGTCAGCTTAAATCTTAAAAAAAAATATTTATATCATATAAAAAATTAAATTTTAGTGGTATAAAACTTAACATACACCTTTTCATTTTTATTTTGTTAAATTATCATAAATTAAGTAAGTTTTATAATAGACTTATTAGTCATGTTAAATTTAGGGTCGTCACTACGACAAGACTATTAAGGTCATTGTCTTAGGCTCCAGTCAAAGTATTAATTTTTTTATTTTAAAATAATTAATTTTAATTTAAATAGTTATATATTTTATTATATTATTTATAATTAATTTCGTAGTATATAAGATTATACAATTATTTAAATATATCTACACATAAATATTATTATAAGATTATAATTTAAAAAACCAATAACTATATTTTATTAATATACTTTAAATTTTGATAAAAATAATATTGAAATAAATATAAAAATTGAATTTCATAAAAACATTATGATTTATATAAAAATATTAACAAAAATGATAGTGATAAAATCATTAAAAAAATGAAATTTGATTAGAAATTAATTCTTTTGATTTTTTTAATAAAAATATGTTCTATTTTTGACTATTTTGTATAAATATTAAATTATTTATTTTATTTTATTTTATTCACAACTTATTTGAAAAAAATTTAAATATGAAATCACTTTGAAAAATATATGTATTTGAATTTCAATAAATAAAATTTTGAAAGAAATATTGTATTAATTTTATATGGCTGATTATGACTTTTTCTCTAATTTGAAATTACTACAAAATAATACAAAATAAATTAGTGTTTCATTAGAAGTGTTAATTAAACTATATTAATATTTTTTAAATATGTGCAATATATATTACAAAATATTAAAAATAATACTTATAATTATTATTTTTTAAAAATAAATTTTTTAGATTTAATTTGAAACTATGTTGTAAAATAGTCAATCAATGATCGAATGAATTATCAGATGTTAAAACTCATTAATTATCAAATTTAATTAAAACTATTTTTTAAAAACAAAAAATTAGTTAATTGTGTAAGAATAAAACTTAAAAAAAAATGGTCTTTGACCTAAAATTTGTCGGGCACAATCATGACTAAACTTCCTTAGGTTGTATATTTTTAAAAAACCAAATCATGCATTTAAAAAGGACCTACAATTGGTAAGCAAATCAAACTTAGGTCGTATATTTTTAATTAAGACCAAACTCAAACCTAGTAAAATCTAGAATAATCTATCCTATTGCCACCTTTTAATTATACAAATATCTTAAAGTTTAAATAAAACTTAAATATAAAAATGAAAATGTATAAGAAATAATATATCATCAATTTTATCTAATGATAAATTTAAAATGAAGATTGTTAGATTTAAGCAAATTATATATATATAAGGAGATATTTAATGTACAATACTTAGTCTATTGTGGATTAATTAATTTCTTTTGAATAACCTAACCGTAAATAACAGTCAAATTTAATATGTATAGATTATTAATGGTTTAGTGTTAAATATTATTCTAAAGAACGACATCAAAGGAGGAAAAAATGATTTCGCATTGCAAGAATGACATGAGAATGTCCAATTGTCCATACTAGATTAGGTGGAACATTCTTTGGATTTTTTTGTATTGTCTCTTTCTTCACATGTTGTAGATATGCGAGTAACACATGATCTAGTATTCCATTTTATCATGCGCCAGTGTGCAAAAAACAAACACTAACAATAACATCTTCTGTAGTAATTATAACAAGTAACAACTAACCCATTTGACTAGCCGCCATTTTTTTTTTGTTTCTGGAGAAAATTACACCACTAAATCTTTATATATATATATATCTTCTTAAGACATTCATCAAGTTGAAGCATCCATGACTGAGGCAAAACTAAGGTTAGTAGCATGCATTACACCACTTTAGACTATGTTTTCTTCATTTTTCTTTGGCATTCATGACGAGAAATTATTAAATGTTTCTGGATTTCGTGAATTTAACTAGTTTCTATATATGTAATCAAGTGTTATTAATTTTTGCATATGTTGAAAAATTTAAATACATGTCATATTGAATGACTGAAATCATGAATACTTGATAATATTAAATTATCTAATAATTTTTTGCGACACAATATTGTTGAAATACAACAATCTATTTCCCCTTTCCTCTTTATGTTTGTAGCATCATGTAGAATTATTTGTGGTTTGTGATTTCAGGTATGGTGTTGTTAGTGGGGCAAACAAAGGAATAGGGTTTGAGACTGTTAAAGAGTTGGCCTCAAATGGAGTGAAGGTTTTTCCTAGGACGCCCTTTACGGGTTTTCATCCTAGCGGATTTTTGTTGCGCAATGTCTTTATTCCTCAATTGGATTTTGTCTTGTAATTCCCTAGAAGCAAGGATTCGTCCATTCTTGATCATTCCTCCTATCCCGGCAATTGTCATTTCGTCATGGGAAAGTCTCGCTGTTTGAATTGTCGATTTGGGCATGTGATGCCCCCAATTACTAATAAGTGTTCCCCGATTTGATGTTTCAGGTTCGCATTTGATTACAGTAATTTCCATTATCCGGCTAACAAGCACAAATTAGATTTCCCTTTTTATTCTTATTTATTATTTACAAGGAAGACATGTTATCTATATGAAACATAAAATAGGATGCAAAGACATATGAGAAATTCAACGGATATCATTCTCATTGATTTTTGTTTAGAGAACATTCTTTGCATACTATTATATGTGTCTTCCATTTCTAATGAATGTATGCTAATGTACTATCCTAGGAGATGCATGATATTTATTTT